TATTAAGTGTTTTTCAGTTTGTATATATTTTATTTAGTTGATTATGTTCAGTTTATTGTACAATATTTAATTTAATATAGTTTTGTTTAATTTATTTAATTAATTATATTACTGTAAATTTAATTTTGTTTTATATCTTTTATTATAATTTTTTTCATTTGATTCAATTTCATTTATTTTTTGTTATAATATTTTTATTTAATTTATTTAATTTATTTTTTTTTGTTAATTTATTTATTTTTATTCATTCCAACTGTTTTTATATTACTTTATTCTTATTTTCATTTCTTTTTTTGGTGTCGTAAAATATTTATCTTTTTTTGTTTTCCTATTAATTTTATAACTCATTTTATTTTTATTTTAAGTGTGTCAGTTTTTTTAAATATCTTATTTTATTTTATTTTATTTGTATATATAATTTTAATTATCCTTGTAATATTTAATTTAATTTTATTTAAGATTGATTGATTTCATTTTTTTCTTATTTCATGTTTTATTTTAATTAAATTCATAGTTTATTTTAATGAATGTTTATTTTATTTTAATTTATTCCGATATTTTATTTTATTTTATTTCATAATTTTTTCTTATTTATTTATTTCATATAATATTATTATATATTCTTTTAATTTTCTTGTTTTTATTTTAATTAATTTAAAACTTTTTTTTCTGTTTTGAATATATATTTTTTGTATTTTCTTTATTTTGTGCTATTTTATTTTCAAGTATTTTATTTATATATCATTTCGTTTTTATTTGTTTTGTTTTATACCATTTTTTATAATTCTATTTTTCTGTTTATTTTAATTTTGATTTATTTTTAACATTTTTTTATGCCCCTAATAATAGTGTCTTAGCAAATAATTTAGCTTTCGCGAAGTACTATGTTGCGCATGCTTAGAAACATTATGTTGGCCACCCTCTGTATTTATAATGGGGTGATAATGAAAATCTTATTTATTATCTATTATAAGTACACAATAAAGGTTCGAAATAATGAGATGAGATGATGGCACTAAAGTGCGGTGAGAAATATTAATAGCAAAGCGGGAAAAATATTGATTGTGGGAAAAGGAGCAGAAAGTAAATTCATTTGTACTTTGATTCAGTATGGTGGCGTGACAAAGTTGTTGCAATATTAAGGGAGTTAAGAACTGTATAGAAGCTTGAAGTAACGCTGAGCTGTTATGAATATAATAACTCTAGGATACCAAAATTCAAAATTATAAAGTCGCTTTCTTATAACAGTGATTATGCTGTTGCTTGGTTTTATACCCAAAAGTGCAAATATGCATAAAAAAATTATATAAAAAAAATTTTGGCACTAATACATACTCGTACATACGTCTCTGCTTTGAAAACCATTGCGCTTCAAATAATTCAGATATTGAGATATTATTTCTTATTCTGATTATAATTTCACATTTGTTTGTTAATGGAAAATCCAAGTTTTTATTTGCGCTTTGATGTTTGTAATTGAATCAAATCTTCACAGGGGTTGGTTGAATTTATGATTTTTATAGTATTTCAGAGGTGGTGGAAATAGTAAACTTAACGTTTTAAGGGTTGTTACTGGGAAAGTTAGGATATCCAAAACCAAGGCAAGGCACAAAAAATATGAGTAATAAGAGAATTATGAATAATATATGACTGGATATGAAGTCCTATATTAATATGAAAGTAGCAACTAGGCCACATAGGTAATAAAATATGTTTGCTTAAAATTTCGATAAGAATAAATCATTCAAACAAAATTCCACACAAAAAACAGCCTCCAGCGCTTAAAACAAATTTGCAATTGCTTAACAGTATTTTGTATGCATATCTACGAGAAAACTTTAGTATTTTCGGTTTGAAAAAATTTATTAAAATTTTTCTTATGATCTCTGTAAGGCATGTGGCCAAAGTGAAGCAATATTCATGCCACATTGAGCACCGTGGCAGACAATGGAGAGCAAAAGTTGCACTATGACTTCAATAAATAAATGTACAGAAATGTACATATATGAGTGCACGATGAAAAAGGAGTAAATGCTCAATATGATTCCTCAAACCATTTGTATATATTAGCAACTTTTGATACATGGTTTCGTTATGCATTAGTATCGTATGTGCACACAAACGTGCAACGAAGCGGGTATTGGGAAATAATTTGTGCATTAGTAGTGACCTTTTTTGCAACAAACAAATATATTGCTTTAAATACCCACAAGGGTTATCACAAATATATTTATTAATATTTTCTGGGGCAACATGTTAAGCGCTGCTGCAAAAGGCTCAATTTTTACTATTGCATTTTTTTTAAATTTATTTATATCACGACTAAATGCAGTTGAGAAATATTTACAACATTACATACATATATCAGTATTTTTACGTAACTCCTATTATAAATTACAAAACACATATTTAATAGATACAAATTTCGATTTTGTGATTTCACGAATTATGAAGATGAAGAGTGAATTCTTTATACCTTTCATGACTTATTGAATAAATTTAAAAAAAATATGGTTGGTGAGAGCTACATATATGATCAAGTTTTCCTATTTCGTGTAGAATACCATAGATAGTGCATTTTTGACCAAAACCCTTATACTTGAATATATACGAGTATGTTATAGTCCTCCGATTTCGATAATACTCAGCACCAACATATAATTCGTCATGCGTGAGCTTCTTTGACGGATTCTCGGCCTAAAATCTGTAATCTGAAAAATCAACCGTATTTAAGTGACAGTGTTCTGATCTGACCGTTATCGACAAATGATCGTTTGAATGTACCACAGCTTCTGCGTACAAAGTTTAATTGAACTATCTCAAAAATTGAGGGTCTAGTTTGCATACTAACAGACCGATATGCTGAATCAACTCAGCACGTCATTCTAAGCCGATCGATATAAATTTCGATGGCCCTATCTCTTCCCCTTTGAGTTCTTGCATATGTACATACTTTGGACACAAGTTAATATACCATTTAATGTACATGAAGGATATTAAGATGTCCTTTCGGGCATAGGAATATAAAAAAATATTATCAATTATATTTAAAAGTTTTGTAAAGTTCCAATGACTATTGTTGAAACTTCTTAACTCAACTTTTTTCCTAATTCATTTTGTTGTTAATATGCACTAGTATTTTGAAATTCAAAGAGTAGTCACAGTGAAAGAAAAATTGTGTTAAATGGTAAAAATCCAAGATTTATGTGTTCCTATAAGTGAGCCAATAGTTTCAAAGAGTCCATTGAACTATACCTTGCAACGTCTTCCATGCAACAGTGTCCACAATTACATAAGTAAAGTTCAAATGAAATAAATTTTGCGCGAAATAATTGTAGTTATTCAGGCTTAATTAAATTAGATTTGAAATTTCGCACTAATTTTTTTGTCCCGTGCAAATATTGAGATAAAGTAAATTCCATTTATCTCCACTTACTTTTATTAAACACCATTTGGTGTACTTAAGCAAAATATTCAGATAAATGAATAAATCAATAAAATTGGCACAATATCCGTTTAAAAGGAATTATCTACATTAAAACTGTTCCTCTATGTGCACATAAGTGAATATGTAATTAAAAGAAATGCACTGTTAATACACATATATAATACACATGTAAATTTTCTCGAATTTTTAATTTTTAAACTCTAGAAAAAACGTTTTTTTTAATTTTTTGTTATTAAATTTGATTTATTTTTGAAGAAAAAATTAATAGTTTTTTTAAATTTTGTATCGTATTTTTTATAGACGATTTCTGAGATTTTCGATAGAAATATGTTTGCATGGTAATTTACTTCAATTAAAAACTTGTTATTAAATAACTGTACAAATTCAGTCAAATTTGTCTCTAAATATTAAAGTTGTAGTTTTTTCAAAGAAATGTAGATCTTATTAATTGAATAATATTTTCGATATAATTGAACTATTCTCTTTGCTTAAATAAGCTTTATATTTTCTTTACTCATGTGAAGAAAAACCAGTCCTTTTTATTTTATAATTTTTTTACCTTTTTTATGCACATTTTTAGCTTTGACCTTAAAGCTCAAAAATTACTAAAAATTCATTAGAAAAAAAAAACACTACAAAAATAAACTTGTTTTTCCGCCAACAATACTTTGCTTTTCCAAAAAATATTTTAGTATGCACTTTTCCTGAAAAACTCTTAAAAATACTGCAACGTACCGAAAACAAAAGAAAAGTTAAAAAAAATACATAAGACACAAAAAAATTAAGTGCAACTAAAATAGAACATCCAATAACCCAACCAAATTGACATTTGTTTCTTTGGTGAGCGACATGTGCTCAGGAACATGTATTTGGGTACATTTAATACAGCTAAGATTTATAGTAACAACAGACCGAAATAACAATCTTTCACGCCCCCTCCAAAAAACGAAGGAATTAGTAGCTTGAGTTGAATGCGAGATATTTTTGTTATTCCCCATTTAAAACTGCTTACATACAAATATATGTATATGTACTTTAGCAAAATAATTTTGTGGTTTTCTTTTGGGGAAAAAATACATAAAAATGCCTCCAATGATTATGCTGTAATGTGCGTTCATTAGCAGTGTGCAGCAGACATTTTAAGAAGACGATGAAGGTGGTACATATGTACGTACAATTGTTGCTCTGTGTCTACTAACACCCACTCAAGTAGAGCGAATGCATATTTAGTTATAATTATTATCACCACTAACCCGGAAGTTTACTACATTTTCATGCATTCTTTTGATGTGTTAATAAGCACATAATAATATGTATACATATATGCTTGCATGTATGAGCATAGTCCCTGAAACTCCCCCTTAACAAAATTTCATTGATATTCCTTGGCATAATTTCTAAAAGAAAATATTTCTTCACATTATAAATATTTAGTAGATTTTGAGACATAATTTCTTGAATTATTAATATTTTGATTTTTTTGTTGTTGTTGGCTTTGTCGCTTTTCTTGCATTTCTTTGATTTGCCATTGCTTGCGCCTTGTATACCTTACCTTCTAACATCCGGCGAATTGGGTAGACTGCGGCATTTGCGGCTACTTTTGCTGCCGCTGCTTTGGCCATGCGATGATGATGAGTTACCCATTTTGTTGTTGGTGTCGTTGACGCGGACAAGAACATTTACATTTGCTTGATGGTTTGCTTTGAAGAACACGTGATTTTTCTTTTTTTCTTCACATTTTTATATTCTAATTTAGATTTTACACATCACGCTCGTTTTCAAGCAAGAGATTATGAGTTGCAACTTTTTGATTTCTATTTTTATGTATAAAAGTATTTGGCTTATTTTTGGCGGATTTACACTTTTGGCATTTATTCATTAACTCATTATTCTTTTTTTACACTAAAAATTTGATTGCATTACTTTTCTTTGAAACCGTAAATTGCTATCTCTTTAGAATTAATTTCTTTAGTTAATATGAGAAAATTTTGATTTAAAAAATTAGTTTTTTGAGTTCTCTTCACAAGAGTTAAATTTTCAAAATAATAATAATATCTATAAAAAAAAATTATGCATTTATTTGGCTAAATAAAAATTGAGATGAATGGCAGGAGCAAAGGTCTGAATTATACACACTAAATTCTTGATGTTTTTTACAAATGGTTGTAATGTGATCGAAGGAGTTACAACTTCAGTTTACTGCGCACAACTAGAGATAAGAAGTCCCATAAACTTCCAAACCATTGCAGTATCTTTGAAATATCTGTTTCAAAAATGGCGCCATAGGTACTGCCATGCGTTGGCTTTCAAAGGAAAATAATAAACCAATCCAAGTGTTCATAAAGGCTTAATTTTATACAGCACGGGTTACAAGGTCACACGGCCATTGAAGGAAACTAGATAGCTGATGAAGTGACTGAATAGAACGTTTACAGGACGTATTAACGAACAATCCAGTCTGATTAGGGACAAGAAGTGCAGAAAATATAAGGAATGTGCGGATATAGTGGAGCACGCAGTGCTCTTCAAACTAGAGATACAGTAGGAATAGCAGTACAGCTTGGTCACTTGTTGTGTGTCTGGCAATATGTATTGGATGTATTATCATTTATCATTATCACTATCGTTATCATTTATGTGAGCCTCAATGGGCCGGCCAATTCAACCTAGCTCATGTGTGATATAATAGGTATTTTAAAATATATTCACAACGCTAATTAGTCAAAGTATTCACCTTTAATTTGAAAGGAGAAAAATTATAGAACAGTTCATAGCATTATGATATTCATCGATAGATATTTATATTGAATCCTTAATTTTTTAGTCTAGGTTTGTAGGGGAGACATAATTTTACTCATCCCATCAGCTTTGAATGATATTTCAAATTCGAACACTACAAAATTCCGGACACTTTGTTCGGACAACAATCTGGTTGTATCAAAAACTGATGAGCTACACGGGAAGTTTCTGTTGACAAAAAGAGTGTTCTGCATGGCACATTATTCTTTTACTACGTACATAAAGTTGAGATTGAATGCGCAATTTTTTAAGTTGCTTCCGAGAGATGTAAATTGGAAAGTTAAAGGAAGCTAAAGGAGGATGTTTTCGTTGAATCAGATATTAGATGAGCTACGTTTGATCCATAATTCATCACAACCATGAGGGACACGCAAAGTTAAGGTTGGATTGTCTTTAAAGAGAACGTGTAGACATTTATAGACAATAGCTGAGAACCCAACTACAAAAAAATAGTAAAGAGAATGTTGAAAATATTTCAAGGTATAGGTTGCTTAATGATTATAAAATTATAATTATTTCATTCGCATGAACTTTCCAGAAAATTCAGAAAATGTGAATGTGGAGCAAGTTGGACGATTTTGCCGAGATATTAAAGAGATGAAACAAAGTGGCAAAGAAGATCGAGCGTCTTAATGAGAGGGCTTCAGAGAGACCTTCAAGATTTTTCCACAAACAAAACGTAAACAAAATCGGTTTAATGTTCAGATAAAGGCTGATTTTTAAGCTAGTGACTTTCTGACAACAGTGGTTTAAACAGCTGACGCGCGTTTCGTATTTTGCATCACAATGAAACATCTTCAGTTTGGTCTATAATATAACCATGAATCGTCTTACAAACGAACAACGCCTGCAAATTATTGAATCAAAATGCGTGCTCTGTTAAGAAAGTTCCTCGCGCGCTTCGAAGCTCAGTTTTGGCTTAGTGGGTGCGTGAAAAGTCACAGTTTGTTGCGGTTTATGGGCAAGTGGCATTATTGGGCTATACTTCTTCGAAGATGATGCGAATCGGAATGTAATTGGTGAGGTGATATCAAACTTTTTTGCCCAAAATGCGACTTGACTTGCATTACATGTGGTTTCATCGAACCTTACAGTACCCGTAACAATGGACTTGTTTAGAGGCGAGTTCGGTGAATATTTTATTTCACGTTCGGGACCTATAAACTCGTCGCCTAGATCGTACGATTTAACGCCTTTAGGCTAACAAATCTAATTTCCATACAGACAAACCCGCTTCAGTTGACGCATTGGAGGACAACATTGCAGACTTGTAAAATTGACTATGGTTTTACAGCAATGTACACGTATTTATCGATGTCTCTCATTTATTACATTTCTTAGGTGATATTTAGTTTTTATTGAAATATTATTTTTACAATAAATAAAATCAGTAAAATGAAGTAATATTATTCTTCATTTTTTGGCGACCCAAAGCTTCAAACTAAGAAAGAGAGATTTATTTTCTTAGCCAATTCACAATATTGTATATGGATTATTCAGCTTATTTACAATATTATTGTAAAAGTAGTACTTAAGCTGACAGAAACTGCCCGTTTCGTCCTCAAACCTTGGTCAAACATAAATGTCAATTGTATGAAATCTCTACCGAAAATTCGACCGCAAACAAATACGAGTATAAAACATACACACACACATAATATATACCTAGATATGTACATAAGTAGTTGAAGAACACAATAGATGGCCAAACAAAAGGTAAAGTTCATGCAGGCATAGAAAAATCTCTCAAACGAAAATGAAAAACGGACAATAAGCCCAAACATCTGAGCTTCAAATCTAAGTAAATATGTACACACATATGTATGTACGAGTATGGCTGTACTAAAAATGACCAACTGTCTACAGTTAAGCCCCCCAAACGAAATCTCTGGCAATTGTATGCTTTTGGCCTTTATTAGCTCATAATACAATTAAGCTAACAGATTTTCAACTTCCTCATCATGAGTGGGGTAAATAAAGTGCAGACTGTGGGTAAATAGCAAAATACGAAGCTAAAACATGGAAAGAGGCATATGAAAAGAGGAAAAATGTATGAGAAAGGGCGATTAAAAATGCCTGAGGATGATGGCTTGAAATACGAGAATGATCGAATGATGATGATGATGATATACTCACACTCATACACCTCGTATTATGACACTGAAGTTGGCTAATAAACAAAAATGTCAGAGAGTGATTTGAGAGGGGGTGAATCTTTAGCAAAAGGGGAGCAATGTACTACCTTACTGACGAGCGATTACAGTTTGGGGTAAAAGCAAATACGAACGTGTGTGCAGAAATAAGACAAAATGGAGTTTATAATTAAATTTATTTTGCAAATTAAATTCTAACTCTTTTGATGGGTTAAAAATTAAATGTCAAATTGTGAAGGTCATCGGAAACTTATAGTGGTGACGTGTGTTAATATTTTTTTTTTTTTTAATTTTAAACACATACTTAAAATAATAATAAATAAGCAGAAAGGTTTTTGTCTTTTCCTTAATTAGTTTTGGGGTCAATTTTTCAAATTAATTGAAAATTCAGCTTTTAGGCCACCGCAAATGACAAATTTTGTTTCTAATTTATTAATAAAATTTACTATATTTGATTAAGTCTAAGCGTTAAGATCAGATGGCACTCGGATGGCAATCTAATACATGTATATTTAACTATTAAAATAAATGGTTTTGGGTCGCAATTCTTCTCAATAAGTCAGGTAAGTTAAGGCTCCTTTTATAACAATGGATTTTGTATTCATAATGCACAAAAGCCTCTACCCACTAAACTCTAACAAAACCTTAGTCTTAAAAGTATAAAAAAGAAACTACCCATTCAACTCAAAAAGAAAAAAAAAGAAAACTCGCTCTAAAAAGTACAAAGGGGATCTCAACGCACACTGCTCGCAAAAATCACTCTTAAAAGTAAAAAAAAAAACTCTACTCACTCAACTCGAACAAAAACTCACTCTAAAAAGTTAAAGAAACGAAAATCTCTGCTCACTCATCTCGAACAAAACCTCACTCTAAAAAGTTTAAAAATAAGAATCCCTACTGACTCTTTTCGAAAAAATCACTCTTAAAAGTAAAAATAAAAAATCTCTACTCAATCCGAAAAGTATAACAAACGAAAATCTCTATACACTCAACTGGAACTAAATCGCTTCAAAAAATATAAAAAATAAAAACAAGAAGAAAAGAAAAAAAAACACACTAAACTCGAAAAAATTACTCTAAAAATTCCAAAATCTCTTCTCACTCAACTCAAAAAACCAATCACTATAAAAAACATAAAAAACGATAATCTCCACTCACTCATCTCGAAAAAAAAATCACTTAAAAAGTATAAAAAAAAGAAAATTTCTACTCACTCAACTCTTATAAACTCAAATCTTACAATTTTAAGCTCACAGCACAGGCTTTTTAAGCAGTCTACGCCGTACCTTTTTGACAAGTGACAAGTGTCAGTTAACGAATTTGCTTGATTTCGAAAATTGACAAATGCAAGCAGAAGAACAAGTCAAAGAAGCGGCAGAGTAGAGAGCAAGAAGAAATCAATAATTTGATACACCAACAGCTTCCCTTAGACTCCGCTTCAATGCGTGCCCATAGGTGTGTGGATGTACTTCTAGCAGAGGGTGGCATTGAAATTGCGTGTAAATAATTTACACGCGTGTCTGACACGTGATGCAAAAGCCATTTTGAATTTTTGCAGTTGCATGCATCAGTCTGTTGTGACTGATGTTGCACTTATCCACAAACAAACTTACACAATCAGGCACTATGCGTTGGGAATTAAAGCACATTTTTTTTACCTACAATAGGTTTTTCATATGCGACTTCGGAAACATCAATTTCATTTCGAGTGCCTGCTAAATGTTGAATCAAATGGTATTATATGTGTATGCGTGCGAGTTATTGTTGTTTTTGTTGTTACCATTTTTGTTTTGGCAGGTAAAGAGGGTGCGAATTTATATGGTTAATCAATTTGTCGTAAAAATTAATGAGAGTGGATTGGTTTACGCTTTGAAGTAGTGGCAACAAATTGTGAAGCTGTAAGAATGCTGCGAAGGAGTTGCCTAAATATATACTATATATGTATGTGCACATATTTATATGTGTAGAAAGTGTGAAAAGTGAAATGTTTTTATTTACAATGCAATTACATTTTAT